AGCCATACCATTCCTACCTCTGCCTCCCTGAGTGCTGGGATTAAAGATATGTGTGCCACCACTGCCTGACATCTACGGCTATCTACGACTAGCTCTGTACCCTGACCTTCAGGAAAGCTATCACAAACAAAATAATCACATATCTATTTCCTTCTTGCTGTATTAACCTTTGAGTTGGGTCACGTATGTAGACTTGTTGACCATTTGAGGAATGACCAATGCTGTCACAATACAGGGTTGAATCACTAGACTTGGCTGATTTCTCCCCTGCCAACTCCTACTGAAGACTAATGACACCTACCAATCACTATGACACAACACAGGCCATTGTAGCAGTGGAGAGATGGCTCAGTGATAGAGTGCTAGTTGCTCTTACAGAGATAACCACAAGGTGGCTCCCAACCACCCATCCATTACTCTAGTTCTAGGGGACCTCGTGCCCTCTTCTGACTTCTTTTGGTGCCAGTCATGCATGTGGTGCACATGCAGACAGAACACTCAGTAAAAAGTGACAGTTGAATTCCTCAAAGTACTCCCCCTCCCTGCTGACGAGTCATGAATGTCCCCTTGGGTAGGCCATCTCCCTTTATCTGTGGCTCCCATAAGTCCCAGGAGTGGGGAAACTTAGTTATGAGCAAAGCTCCCTCTTCATTCTGTGGCCATTGAACAAGTCTTTCTACCCAACACTCGCTTCTCAGGCTCTAGTGTCCTATGGGGCCTGAGTCTGATAGCAGTGTCTGGGAAACAATGTAGGTCCCTTCTGGACACATTTGGAACCCGTCTTCCAGGTGATATAGTTGAGACTGGTATCCCACTTCTTAGACCAAGCTCTTGTGAGTGGTTGCAGGGCTCCGAGATCCCCAGGCATAAATGTCCACTAGGATTCATTACTGTTTACCTCGGGAAGTGGTAAAAGTGGGGAGACCCTGGGCACTGGAGAGATGGCTGTGGTAAGAGCATTTGACATTCTTCCAGACGACCTGAGTTCAACTCCCAGCATCCACATCCGTGTTCACTGTTACTGGTATCACACTAGAGGGGGAAAACGATCCTTCCTGGAGCAGTTTAAACGGAGCCCAAATTTGAATTCTCCACTTCTGTCTCCAGTCTGTTCCCAACAAAAGACTTTGTTTTATATTTATTGAACAGCATGGAAAACAAGGTTTGAGAAAGGAACAAGGAATCTCTTAATCATTTTTCACTAGTGTTCACAATGGAAGAAGTTACTTTATGATCCTCATTGACCCCACTTTTGAGTGGATTTGATACCACTCAAAATCACAAACCAGAATCCTAACAAAAGATCACGGGCATGGAAGAACATAGTTTTAAAATCAAAGCTATGCATTTAGCTTTGGTTGTAAAAGCTGATTACGTGAAGTCCCATACTCAGCAAGGTTGATTATATTATTTTCTTGAAGACTAGTTAAACTGAAGCAGGCTTGGTCACAGGCATTTTTGTTGTTTTCTGAGACAGGATTTCTTGACTTAAGTAGCTTTGACTGTCCTGGAACTAGCTTTGTAGAGGAGGCTGTTCTTCTTTTCTTATTATTACATTTTTTTAAAATTAGAAACAAGTTTGCTTCACATGTCACTCCTAACTCCTTCCCCTCCTCCCGCACCCTCCCATCAGCCCCACCAGCCCCCACCCGAGGAGGCTGTTCTTGAATTCACAGAGATCTTCCTGCCTCTGCCTCTCAAGTGCTGGGTTGGACTAAAGGCATGTGCTACCACCGCCTGACTCACAGACATATTTTTTTAACTTGGTTGGAAAGTAAGGTAAAGCTCAGTTTCTGAAGGTAAGAGGTATTTTCAGAAAAAAAAGGACCATCCCCACAGTTAGCAACCACTTGTAACTCCAGTTCCAGTGTGGGTGGGGGCTCACCGAAGGCGCTCATACACATAGATGAAAATGAAAAAGCTGGGGATATCCAGTAAATATGACATTGCTTGTGAAAAATTCAGTAGCAGTTCACTTCTTCAGTATCTATTGTCCTGCAAGCATGGTTCTAGTTCTGCAAGCATGGTTCTAGTTCATTAAAGAAGTCTATAAATACATGTTCCTTCTTTTAGGATAGGGACGATTACTATATTTTACAAGTGGGCTACTCTGTTACCAAGAAATGAAGCCACTTGTGAGAGAATACACATTTGAATAATTGAGCTAGCAAGCAGGGTTCACTGCCTCTTTAACCCCTGCTAGAGTCACTTTTAGTCTTTTCTGTGGAGATGGTCTGCTACAGTTTTGGAAAAAAGGTAAGTGTGGTGATATATTATTTATGATTTATTAAAGCTTGCCTGGGTGTCCAGAAAGCAAAGCCAGAGGTTAGGCAATGGTGATGCACACCTTTAATGCCAGCAGCCGTGCTAGCAAGCCATAGAGCCAGGCAGTGGTGGCACACAGCTTTAATCCCAGGACTCAGGAGACAGGCAGATGGATCTCTGTGAGTTCAAGACCACCCTGGCCTACACAAGAGCACTTTAGAGGTGGATACAGGACGATATGGCTGGGAGGACAAAGGGATATAAGGAGGAGACAGGAACACAGAGTTTTTGCCTCTAAGAATTCGTGGAGATAGCATTGACTCTGAGGATTTGTGCAGACAGAACAGCCCTTTCAGCCTGAGGTACAGGTAAGAGCTAGTGGCCGGCTGCTTTGCTTCTCTGATCTTCCGCTTGAAACTTGAACCCCAATATCTGTCTCTGGGGTTTTTTTTCCCATGTTACAGGTAAGTGCTGCCTCAGGTCCTCAGACTACCAGGAGAATTTGAACATGTGCCGGAGGAGCAGCTGCTGGAAAAGAGTTACCTACCTGACTCACTCACTGGGCAATGGTTCAGGGACCTCCCAGGCAAGCGCTCTACCAACTGAGTTGTGTTCCCAGAGACTCAAGGGCTTCCTATGAATGTGGAAGGCTCTCTTCAAAGCAGTTTAACAGCTAGGGAAAAACTTCTTTCTCTGGTATGTTACAGGCTATTTGAGCAAAAGAAAGTCTAACAAGAAAGACTAGCTACACTGATGTTTTCCTTACACAAAAGTGTATGTATGTATATATATATGTATGTATGTATGTATGTATGTGTGTGTATATATTATAAATATATAATTTTCGAGTGTGTGTGTACATGGAAGGTGTGGGTATGGAAGAGGACTGTGTGTGTGTGTAGGTCAGAGGACAACCTTGGGTGTCACTCCTCTTGGCTGCTTTGATTTGTATAGGTTTGATTTGGTTTAGATTGGATTGGTTCATAGGGTCTCACTGAGACTTGAAGCTCACCTTTTGACCAGGCTGTCTGTCTGTCCAGGGAGTCTCAAGGATCCTTGTCTCTGTCTCCCCAGCACCGGGATTTCAAGATGTATCACTTTATAAGGATGCTGGTGATCAAGTACAGGTCTCCCTAGCCTCCAAGATACATTTTTATTAAATACTTGTTAATGGTGCCATATCTAGCCATTATAGCCTGAGTCTTTACTTCCTGTCCCTCAGGATTCAAGGATTGTACTACAGTCCTTACCCTCATGATTTGTAGAACCAATGCTTCAGACTGGCAGTTGATCCTGATAGCAGTGTGGTACTGTTCAGTGCTCCATGGGCATGTGTGGGACAAACACTGAATGGCTCTCATCATCTGAGAGCCCCAGCCTAAACTCAAAGCCTGCCTTTGCACACTAGGCTGCATGGCCATGGGTTTGACTTCTGTTGCCTCCCAGACTAGAGGCTCTGATGAATGTTCCTTATCTTTAACTAAGTGCTTTTTAACATTTTACTTGTAAGTTGGTTAATTCTCTTGTTGCCATGACAAAATACCTAAGAGAACAATTTAAGGGAGAATTTTTTTAAATTTTACTTTTGTGTATATGGGTGTTTTTCTTGTGTGTATGTCTGTACAATATATGTGTATGTAGTGCCTGAGGAGGCCAGAATAGGGCATCAGACTTTGCTATTGTGTAAGATGTTAATTACTACCCCCCAAAAGATTAGCCATTATATGTTATCCTTCCAGAGTCTTCCAAGTTTAACCCCTCTGCTCCTCAAATTCTGTCTTAGTTAGGGTTTCTATTGCTGTGAATAGACACCATAACAGCAACTCTTATAAAGGAAAACGTTTTTGTTTATTTTCCAAAATCTTGGTTTCTCTGTAGCTTTGGAGCCTGTACTGGAACTCGATCTGTAGATCAGGCTGGCCTTAAACTCACAGAAACCTGCCTGCCTCTGCCTCCCAAGTGCTGGGATAAAAGGAACGCACCACCACCACCCAGCAAGGAAAACATTTAATTGGAACTGGCTTGCAGTTCAGAGGTTTAGTCCATTATCGTCATGGCAGGAGGAATGGTGGTGTGCAGACAGACATGGTGCTGGAGAGGAGCTGAGAGTTCTACATCTGGAACCTTGGGCAGCAGGAGAGCTCAGGTGTGAGTCTGGAGAAGCCCACACCTACACTTGATATGAATTCCCTCCCTCCAAGCACATCTCTTTCTGCTAACCCCTTGAGCTTACATCTGTGCTAAAATCTCTTCCTAATAAACACCAACTGTGCTCCATACTAACGAGTCCTGATGATCTTGTCTTAGTGAAGTCAGGAACACCAGCTTCACCACGGGTGAGATGGCTCAGCAAGGAAAGGCACTTGCTGCCACACAGGACAGCATGATCTCAATCCATGGGACACACGTGGTGGAAGGAGAGAGTCCACTCCCCAAATCCTTTAAGTTGTCCTCTGACTAGCACAATGACAATGACACAGTGCTCACACACACACACACACACATACACAAATAAGTAGATAGATTGGATGGATAGATGGATAGATAGATAGATAGATAGATAGATAGATAGATAGATGTATCAAAATGGGTTGGCTGGTTTGTTTTCCAAACAGGATTTCTCTATGTAGCCCAGGCTGACCTTGGATTCAGGGATCTGCCTGTCTCTGGCTCTTGAGTGCCAAGACTAAAGTCATAAGCCGCCATGCCTGGCCTAATAAAAAGTTTTTTTTAAGGGTATGGCAGCTTTGCCTGAGTAGAAGTCTTTGAGAGAAAGAACTCAGGCTGCTGCAGCAGACAGAGTGGAGTGCCATCTCCAGCTCACAGGGTGTCATAAAAGGCATTATTGTATATGCTGGTTTCAAAAGGAAGTAGAAAGACAATTATTACAGACCAGCGGTAGGAAGACATTGAAACAGGAGAACTACTTGGACCTTGGAGTTTGGGGCTAACCTGAACATGGTTCAGTGGTAGAAGATGTAGTTATTATGCAGTCTCAGGCTTGGTGGAGACAGGATTGCAGTCTGGTGGGAAGATTTCTTCTCCAACCCTGCCCTTTCAATCTGAGGTAGAGGTAAGAGCTGGTGGCCGGCAGCTTTGCTTTTCTGATCTTCAGCTTGAAGCTTGAACCCCATATCTGTCTCTGGCTTTTCCCATGTTACACCACATAAACAGGACATGGTGGCACACGTGGAATCCCAGCACTCAGGAAGTGGCGGCAGGAGGATCAGAAATTCAAGATCGTCTTCAGCTACAGAGGGATTCAAGTCCAGCTGGTACACGAGAGCCTTTCTTGAACAACAAAAACAAACAAACCCCAAAGATGTGTGCAAAGTTCAGTAGTGTAAAAGTAGGGGGAAGTTTGACTCAGTTTGCCGGGCGTTGGTGGCACATGCCTTTAATCCCAGCACTCAGGAGGCAGAGGCATGCGGATCTCTGTGAGTTTGAGACCAACCTGGTCTACAAGAGCTAGTTCCAGGACAGCCTCCAAAGCCACAGAGAAACCTGTCTCGAAAAAAAAAAAAGTTTCATACAGAAAATGGGGGCACAGCCAAAATATGAAATGGTATTATAAATGTTTATTTACTAAAGCCACTTACAAAAAAGAGTGATATAATCCCACTCAAAAACCCATCGTATATCTTTCTTGCATGTATATGCACAGGAAACTATCAGGTCATGGGTGACTCTTAGTTCCTTCAGATTTTTTATTCATAGCATCGTTGTTTTCGATACTGTGAGGGAATCCACACTTGGGCAGCAGTCTTGACAGTCAGCCTCTTCCCCCAAGCCTACCCTGCCTCATCTGCACAGCTGCCTTCCAGGGGTGCTAAGGAGTGCTCTCCAAGGATTTTGTGTGTATAAAGTATAAACGCCTCTGGGACCCCATGAGCACATCCCAGTCCAGATGTTTAGAAATGGGAGAGGGCGTGTCTACAGCTGCTCTGGTGCGCAAATCTTATCTGTCAAACCTCTCCCTCTGCAGTGCAAGGGCTGAGCCCCAAAGGAATCTCACAGAGGAGGTCTTCAGCACAGAGGGAGCTTCAGCACCAGGATTGCCTACACCCCTGGACTTGTAGGAGTTTGGGCCACCTGCAGTCTGACTCCCAGTTCCTTACAAGGAGCCCCGGTGTCCAGGTGCATTAAGGCAGTTCTCCTGTCTTTGCTGTGTGACGTCTGTGCTCACAGCCAGCACTGAGCAGATCACAGGTGACACTGCTGGCTCCCTTGTGGTTTGAGACACAAGCACGCCGCCCCACAGCCTGCATGTTACACAGGCACAGAGCTCAGGGTGTGGACGTCAGTTAGTTCCCTGAGTCAGCCAGGGGTGGGGTTCCTCCAGCTCGGATTCTCTCCTGGCCCACGGATCTTGCCGTCCCCATCTCTGCCGTCCCCATCTGCCCACCTTCAGCCTCTTCTATTTGATGGGCAGACAAGGAACTTAGATCATCAGGCTGGTGCTGATCACCCACTAACCCGAGAACTCGGCCAGCTCTGCTGTCACTGTCTGCTCTTCACCCCATTCTGTGCATGCAACAACCGAGCCGCCACCCTTGTGTGTCCTGTAGACACTTGTGGTGTCCTGTAGACACTATGTGGTCTAAAGTGAGTTCATAAAGAAAAGAAACTGCTCCCACCCCACCCACCCCCACTACAACAATACAGAGAACAATATATAGAAGGTGAGAAATACTGAAACAGGAGGGCTTGATCTCTTGCATGAAGAGGTCTCTGAAGTCATGGAGTAGGCGTGGCCTCCCGGCCATCTTACACAAATTTCTCTGAAGGGCTGGGCTTGCCTCCTTGTCTGACCTTGGGCCTGAAAGAGAGGCAGGAGACTGACCATCGTTGTAGCAAGAGCCTCTTTAATGAGCCTGGGTGAGGATGGCACACACCTTTATCCCCAGCACTCCGGAAGCAGAGGCAGGAGGACCTCTGAGTTCAATGACACCCACCAGTTTTTGATGGCTCTGGGAACTTGTCCCTAGGGTGCCAGCAGGAATGGGTGAATGACCTCAGCTACTCTTTCCTTCAGACTTCAGGGCACCCATATAGGGTGTGCACTGCTCAGGGGAGGTTGGAGAACCTGTCTCAAGTCACACAACTATTTGCTGAAGCAGGATCTGAGTCCAGTTAAGCTTTCCTCAAGCCTTCTGGAGTCCCAGGAAAGTGAGATATTGAAGCTAATTCTTATCCCCACAGCCCAAAATTAAGGACGCAGAGGGGTTAAGGAGCCACCCTCAGTCAAGCAGAGTGCGGACGCTCAAGGTCCTCGAGCTTGATGCCACACTAAAAGTGGGTGCTCTTTCAGGCTAGCTGAGAGGCCCGAGTGGCTCCTCCAAAACCTCTCTGCCTTTCGGCTGGAACTCAGCTCTGTGAATTCCTAGGGGGCTAGCATGCATAGCTCTGGCAGGCTTTTCTGTTTTACATCTCAAAATGAGAGTACTCAGAAAAAGTAAAGAATAAGCGACTGTCTTACAGAAGCAAGCAAGTGCACTCCGGATTGGGAAAATGAGGAAGACCCTTCACAGGCCTTTTGTCCTTGTGTCCTCCGCATGTCACCTGCAACACAGTCACACGGTTGCGTTGCCTTTGTTTACAGTGATGCCTAAGCTGCTGAACACAGACTCCAGCAGGGAGATACAAAGAGCACAGAGTGCAAACCCGGATATGAAATTTTAAATACTTCCACCTAGTGGAGGAAATGTGTACAGTGGGTTGGACGTCTCGCTCAGCCCCAGCTAGCGTGCTGACCAGGGAAGGCAAAAGTGAGTTTTAGGTGGATATTTGTTTTCAGTGTGACCTGAGACAAGTCACCAAAAGTCCTAAGCCTCAGTTTCCTCCTCTGTAAAATGGAGGGCATATTAAATAAAGACTGTTACAAAACCTGAAATGGAAAGAAAAACAAAACATACAGTTGTCCTTCCTAGCTAAAGAGGACTTCAATATTATCCCGGCTTGGAGTACCCACCTTGGATAGCCAAATCTCTGGAATTCCTTTTATATAAAATGATGTGTAGCCTATACACATTCCCCTGCCACACAGATCATCTCTAGGTGGCCTGTAATACCTAACTAAAACTGTAAAATATGTTTATCGTTTAGGAAAAACGACCAAAGTGTTCACGATAGGCATGCCTTCTGATAATGTGGGACCCACGGACACGGGCATGCAAGGCTGACGGCACAGGGCAGGCAGCTGGCACACGGAAGGCTTGTTTTAAGAGGTCTGGTTCTGATCATCTGACTGTGATCCCATCTCTGCCCCTTCAGATGGGTTTCCTTATCTTGCAGCTGTGGTCTGAAAGGGGGTGATGGTATCTACAAGATGAAGCTGTGGCTGCGTTGTAGACTCAGACAGATTCTGGGTGGAACTCCTTTGCCCCAGTGCCAAGCTGGGACAATACTTGTTAGATGATTCCATCCTTGGAAGGCAAGGGCAGCTAGATGCCACTCCTGGGGTGCAGGGGCTGTTGGATGCCACCCCTGGGGTGCAGGAGCTGTTGGATGTCACCCATGAGGTACGGGAGCTGTCCTAGCATAAGGGCAATGCAGAGTGGAAACCGAGACCTCTCTTAGGTGAAGTTTTCTGATCACTTCAGAGTGACTGAACTGGAACTGGGTGGGGCAGATATTTGAGCCACCAGAGAGCTGACTGCCTTTGCTTCTGGTCCTTTTATCCCCTAGGCCCTGACAGGAACTCTAGGCTCTGTGCTCTCGTGGGAAAATTAGGAACTGGGGTCATTGTTTATTATGTTTCGGTAATTAAACTTGGCTTTCTTTAAAAAAAATAGACCAATCAAGAGGGGAAGTAGAGAGGTGTCTTAATGCACCTCCAAAACACCCATATGGAAGTATCTAGAACAAGAGAAGGACCTTATATACTCCTGGAGCTATGCGGAGTTGGAGGGAATTTTTTTTTTTTTTTTTTTTTTTTGGTGGTGGAGGAGGAGATGAACTAGGCTGGACAGCATTGTCAGAAAGTCACACTGCTCTCCCACTAAGCCTTTTGTGGCCCTTTCTTTTCTCAGGAGTGAATTCCAATACCTTACCAGCCTTCTGCTTCTCCTTGTTCAGGGACTGGCTGACTCCTGGACACCTGCCACTAGGACTTCACTGCCATGACCTCTCTCTGGGTACGATTCCCGAACCACCTGCCGCTGGGCAGCCAGGACCACTGGGACCATGGCCACCCCGGTGATCAGGCCAGAGTTCAGAGACTCACCTGGGACATTTGCAAACTCGCCTTCGGTTCCCTAGACAAGGAAGAAGGGAGAGTAAATAGCTCTTCAGAGTTGGAGTGAACACTCCAGTTAAAAATAAAACATTTAAACTTGGTTTGGTGGCCTATGTCCGCAGTTCCAGTACTCCCGGATCGAAGGAAGCTGAAGGATCAGATCAGAAGTTTGGGGTTATCCTAGGCTACATAACTAGTTTTAGGCCAGCCTAGACAACATGAAACCCTGTCTCCAGGTGGAGGAGGTGGAGGGGGGGCACACAATGATTACATTGTAAATGTAGATGTGACTGAATCTGGGAATCTGCAGACCTGGTACAGAACTCAGAAGAGTGAATGATGGTTTGTGGGTAAATCAAGGGTAAATAAATCTTAAGGTTTTGACCCAGCTTTCTTGGGGCCAGGTTTTAGGGCTTCATCGACCCCTTCCCTGGTGGGTTTACACTACCCTGGCTGTGCTAGCTGTGGGCTTAGCTGCTTCTGGCGTTCCGGAATAGGGCTCTATGCTCCAAACATTTCCCAGAGTGTGGAAGGAGCCGCAGGTGGCCTGCCCGTCTTCTGCCTGCACCGGTCCTACAGGGCAGCTGGTCCCCCCTGAACCCGAGCTTCATCTCCCACAAGAGCTATCTGGGGCAAGCACATGAGTCCTCCCACGGGGACTCCCCAGGACTTACTGTGGAAGCAGATGAGAGTGATGATCAGGGACAGCAGAAGGAACCCGCAGATTCCGGCTAAGGGTGCCCAGATGAAGATATTACAGTCGAAGTCCAATCCTCCCTTCTCCACTGACAAGATCCAAGCGGGTGGCATTTAGAAACCCTCTGGGACAGGCCCCCTCGCCACCCCCAGCACTTCTCCCCGCCCAGATGCCCCTCCAAGTAGCCTCCGACCATGAGAGCAGCTAACCTGAGGCGCCCGCCCCGGGCCGGCAAGCTTCTGGTCGCAGGGACCTGGATGTCCCAGTAGTGGCCACTGGTGTGGGGGGTCGCGGCACTGGCGTGGTGGGCTTCTCTGAAGGAGCAACAGGATGCCTGCGGGTCAAGCTGAGGTGGTGGATACCCTGGTGTCCCAACTTCCTCCCGCCTATCTTTGACCCAAGAAGGCGTCTTCTCCTGGCTCTTTCAGAGAGGAAGAAGGGACCCCTGGACAAGTGCTGGGCCACTCCGCTGCTCGCACACGCGGAGCCAAGTATGACTTTGGGCCTTAGTGCGCCTGGACCAGATCCCATAGCATAGCAGATGTGGCCCTAGAATCAATACCTGGTTCTACCCCCAAGCCAGCAAGAACCGGGCAACACACACATTCAAACTCCATCCCAGATCCCAGGCGTTAAGAGTCACCTCCAATCCCACCTGGCACCTTAGCCTCAGTTTTCTGGTCTGTGAAATGGGGATGGTGTGAAAGTAGCCTCCAAGGAGCCACAAGAGATTTATGAGGAGGGTATCTGTGTGTGAAACATGTTCAGATGTGACACCTAGCCCTCAGGGGAAGGGACCTCCTTGCCCAGACCTGGCAGAAAGACTGGTACAAGAGGACTGAAGTACACCACCGAGTTTCCTGTGACAGAGCAGAAATAGTAGCCTTCAAATTCCTTGCTGAAATTCTCCAGGGTCAGGGTGTACTTGTCACCGTTCTTCTTGCCAGAGACCCGAATTGAATGCAAGTCCCTGTTGCGTGTTTCCCGGGTCGAAGAGAGATAGATGAGGAAGGTGGGCTTAACTCCGGAGCCCTCCTTCTGGAAGATCCAAGAGCATCCTTGCGAAATGGTCAACAGCACCTGGCATGACAGCTCCACCTTATTGCCAAGTTGGGTGACCACCTTCTTAGGCGACATTTGGAACTGTTCCAAACCTTGGAGCTCAGCAACAACGTCTGCGGGTGCCAGGTAAAGAGGCTGAGCCTGGGGTCCCCACACCCTCGAGGTTCTCCAGCCCGTATCCTCCCTAGGGTCATCAACTCACCCAGCAGCAGGGTCAGCGACAGAAAGCAGGCCACCCGTGAGGCCATGGTGTGCTCCCACCAGCAGCTTAGGTCAAGCTAGGGCGCTAGGGGAGGGGCCCAGGAACAGGGCGGGCGTGGTGGGTGAGGAAACGTCCCTTAGCTGGTTGCAGACGAGCTCATTTGGTATTTGAGGATATGACATCATCCGAAGCCCCCGCTGAAAAGACTGTTAGCCCCCTTTTCGCGGTTATCACCTCCCAGGGCCCAGGGAGCTCAGAGTCTGGAGCCTTGCAGAGCAGCTGGGGGCTGCTGAGAACTGAGGTTGGGGGAAGAGATAACGCTTGGGAAGCTTGGGAAGCCGCCTGTGGGGATTGTTCTATTGCAAGAATGGCAGAAAAGAGGAAGGAGAAAGATCATATCCTAAAATAATAAAATAAAACGAGAATGACAGGAAGGAAAGGGGAGGAGTGCCACTCTTTTTCCTTTTTCCTTTAGACAGCGTCTCGGGTCGCTCAAGCTGGCCTCAGACCCACTTCGTGGCAAAGGATGGCCTTGAACTCTAAATCCTCCTGCTCTCCCATTTCTTCTGCTGCCCCCCCCCACCCAAGTGAGGACCCGAGGTTGAGATGGAAAGAGGAAGGATCAGACTCACAGCGATCCCAACAAGGCAGACCGGACATAACCAGAGGGCCTTGTGCCTTCCACCAAGGGGACTTCAAAGGGGGTGGTTCAGCTGGAGCCTTGGGGGGCTCTCAGCTGCAGAGGATATCCATTCCTGGCTTCCCACCCCGGGGGCCAAACTCAGCACACTGTCTCCTCCCTTCTTAGAACCATGGCAACAGCCTCCACACCAAACTCTCTCTAATTGGATCATCCAGCCACATACTGTGACCATCATTCTTGTCCAGGAGATCTGACAGTGTCACCCCCTGACCTGCACAGCTGGGTTAAAACAACTCCCTGACTTGGTTGGAGACTGGCCCTTGGGTAGGTGCTGGCTCCGCCCAAGCCTCTGTCCCTGGCTTTGCAGCCACAGCCTCACAAACAGATGTTTCCTTCCCTGTGTACATCCTCCGTGTTTTCAAACCCTTGCTGCTCTCTGCCTGGCAAATGCCAGGGCCCTGCTGTGTGACTCAGACCTCATTTCTCTCCTGCTCTACTCAAAGACAAGCGAGGGAGCCAGCATGCGTGTGTGAATGCTTGCATGCGTGTCCTGGGTGAGTCCTGGGTGCAGGTACTTTACTCTTTTCTGTCCCTGGCACACATCTACCTCATTCTTTCTTGTCCAGTGATGTCCTGAATGCTGCAAGCCTCAGTGATGTGCTCTCCTCTCAGTTTCCCAGGATTTCCACTTAGTAGTGTTTCCCACTTAGAATCCCGTATAGGGTAAGCCTCTCGTGCTACTGTTTGCTAATAGCTTGAGGGAGTCACCTGGCATTCTCTGCCACACACTTGAATCCTGCCCAGTGGCAATCTGTTTGCTATAGCCTCCAGAGTACCGGCATTACAGGCTTGAACCACCATGTCCAGTCTACAAAAACAAATGTTGGACAGTGTGTGTCTTTGATGTCACACCCTAACATGTATTTACTGAACTACATTCCTCTGAAGAAATTTGCTTTTTCTGTTGTTTTTGTTTGAGGACAAGATCTCAACTCTGTAGCCTAGGCTGGCCTGGAACTTTCTCCACAGTGCAAACAGGCCCTGGGTTCAAGGTAATCCTGGTTGCCTCAGTCTCCAGGGTGTTAGGATTACAGGTTGGAGACACCAAGCTCAATATGGCTGACATATGCAGACAAGTATTGGATGTGCTTTTAAAAACAGCTTTGGTTTTTAAACATGAACATTTTACGTTTAGAGCTGTTTAAAGTATTTATGTATTTTATTATTACTGTGTATGACATGTGGGGGGGCATAGGTGACACAGCATGAATGTGTGAGTCAGAGGTCATGATTGTGGAGTTGTTTCTCTCCTCCCGCTTTTACATAGGTCCTGGGGATCGAATTCAGATCCCCAGCACCCACTTGATTCCATTGCCAGGAGGAAGAGATAGGGGATACCTAGCTAGGCCAGCTCTATCAGTGAGCTCTGGGTTCAACTGAGAGACTCGTCTCAGTGTAGAAAGTGGAGAGCAATGAAAGATACCAGCTTTGGGCCCCCACATTCCTGAACACACACACCACATGTATCAGCAGCTATAAATGCCAGACAAGAGTGAGTACAGAGAAAGTCCTCTGTCTCATCACTCCCCATTGCCCTCAGTTCTTCAGTCAAAACCACTGCAACAGTTGACTGCGTCTCTCAGATGTTGTCTGTGCACAGATGTTTAGCATTTCAAATTATGTATTGCAAGGGCAGTATTGTGAATATATATTTTTTCAGCTTTCCTACTTGAGAATCGAAGAAAAAACTTATCACACCTCATTCTTTTACATGGATGCATTCCACACGGCTGTTTTCATAATTTAGTTCTACTAGTGGGCATTTAGGCAGTTTCCCATTTTTGTGTGATTATTGTACCATCAAGGCTGTTGTAGAGAGAGATATATTATTCCTGTAACATTGTGTCATTTAAGTCATCAGGTTCACACAACACTTTCAATTAAAAGAGTGCATTTATTTATTTATTTAGTGTACCCTCATGTGCCTCAGCACTCTAGGTCCGAGGACAACTATGCGGGGAGGTGGGGGGTCGGTTTGTTTCCTCTGCCTTGTGGGTTACAGGGATTGAACCCAGGTTGTCAGGCTTGGCGGCGAGCATCTTTTCCCTTGTAACTATCTCACTGGGGCCTTCAATAGAAGACGAGGGAGCTAGGAAGGAGAAAGCTTTGTAATGACCAACAAGTATGTGTGCATGGCCGTCTGTGAGTGTGTTCGTACGTCTGTATAGTGTGTCTGTATGTCTGTATCGTGTGTCTGTATAGTGTGTGTCTGTATACACATATAGTGTGTCTGTATGTCTGTATCGTGTGTCTGTATACACATATAGTGTGTCTGTATGTCTGTATCGTGTGTCTGTATAGTGTGTGTATGTATACACATATAGTGTGTCTGTATGTCTGTATCGTGTGTCTGTATACACATATAGTGTGTCTGTATGTCTGTATCGTGTGTCTGTATAGTGTGTGTCTGTATACACATATAGTGTGTCTGTATGCCTGTATCGTGTGTCTGTATAGTGTGTGTCTGTATACACATATAGTGTGTACGTGTCCATATATATCTGTATGAATATGGTGTGTGTGGGGGTGTTTGTATCTGGCTGGTCAGACACAGTGCTTCTCTTCACTTACATGAATGAGGATGGCAAGGAAGCAGGCGAGTTTAGGCCACCCACACAACAAATCTTGTTTTAGATGACAGTTTCCTATTCATTGCATGTCCTACTGGAGGATGTTCACAGGACCCTGCTGGCCAAAGGGTATATAGCCAGAAGAATATGAGAGAGGATGGAAAGACACTAAAGTATTTCCAGACGAGGGCCACGTTAACCTTCAGTTATGTGGGTCTTCAGAAGGAGGTCCCCAAGTAGGATGATGGACTGATTTGAGATGAAAATTGTTCCTCTTCAGTCTCCCAGAAGTGCGCTATGACTGGCTTAGAGGGTTTTCAGGTCTCGAAGCTAAAACTGTGAGCCACGGGGGTGCCATCTCCCTTTGCACAGAGCACCATGGGAGGTGAGGGGAATGCCAAAGCAGCATATCAAACCCACCAAAGAGCTTCTGTGACCCCAATAATATTTTTCACAGGAGCTGGTGGGTTCTCAATGTTAACCACAGCGACATCCGCCCTGTAGCAGGCAGCAGAGCTGATGTGCCTGCACCGTTCCAAGATGCTTCTTCGCTGTAGCCCAGGTGTGCAGAGAGCTAGGGTTGAGTCTGTCCATCATAGCATGTGATTTCCTGTGCCCATCCTGTGACATGTACATGGGATAGTTTGAAGAAAGAGGTGCCACAAAGAACAATGACTGCACTCTGTCACACAAGTGTCTTGCCCCGTTTTTAGAGAACAAGTTCTCACTATGTAGCCCTGGCTTGCCTGGAACTCACTTACTACTTAGACAAAGCTAGCCTCAAACTCTCAGAGATCTGTTTGCCTCTGCTTCACCAGTGCTGGGATTAAAGATAGGCACCACCATGGCTGGACCTTTATTTCTTAAGATACGATAGACAGAATAGGTAGTAGCCCTTGTGCTGGTTTGAATGAGAATGACCCCATAGGCTCGTTTGTTGAAGACTTGGTCACCTGCTGGCGGAAGTGTTTGAGAAGGATGAAGAGGTGTGGTTTTGTTGGAGAAGCTGTGTCACTGGGGGCAGGCTTTGAAATTTCAAAAGACTTTCCAGTGTGTCGTTGCTCTGCTTCCCCTTTGTGGATCAGGATGTGAGCTCTCAGTTACTGCTCCAGCGCCAGGGCGTGTCTGCCTGCCCACTACTACAAAGCTTCCTGGCACGATGGTGATGGATTCCTATTCCTCTGGAACTTTAATCCCCAAATAAGTGCTTCCTGTTAAGTTGCCCTGGTTATGGTGTTTTATCACAGTGATAGAAAAGTAACTGAGAGGCACCCTAAGTGATCTTTGTCCTTAGTTTTTAAAACATGGAAGTGAGATAATCTCAACTATGCAAGACCGAATTACAGCAGTGGGAAAGACACCTGTCATTAATCTTCATCAGGACTCTGTGCTACAGACAGCAGAGACATCTGGAATCATGACTCTGACGTGGCCTGTTGCTTCCCTCCTCAGTGCAGGTAACTCACGACCTCATTGTATCTCAGTCACAAATACCTGTCAAGAGGTCCTGTTACGTCTAGAAGTCACCGTTTCAGCAGCCTCTGACTCTTAGAATCCTTCCTCCCCTCTTCCGTGACATCCCCTGAACCTTGGGGGAGGGGGTGATATCGATGTCCCACTGATGGCTGGGCCCTCCACAGACACTTATTCTCTGTGCTTTGACTGGTTGTGAATATCTGTACTAACCACCTTCTACTGTATGAGCTTCTCTGATTAGGGTTGAGAGCTGCATTAATCCGCGCGTTCACTTTTCTTTACAGCTGAATAAGATTCCACTGTGTAAATGTACCATGTTTTCCTGATCCACCCATTCATCAGTTGAGGCACATAGGCTGTTTTCAAGTCTTAGCTATTATGCACAGAGCATCAGTGAATGTGGATGAGCAAGTGCCTCTACAGCAGGATGTGTCATCCTTTGGGTCAGTTCCCAGGAGTAGTATAGCTGACTGTGATGGCTAATCTTGGTTGTTAATTTGGCTACATCCGGAATTGGCTAACCCCAAGTAGCTGGGCACACCTGTG